ATTTTTTTACAGTGTCATTTCACCCCCCTACTTACTATTTGAGTCATAAAACATGGAGAAATAAATTTGGAAGGGGTATAAAAAAAATCGACAAGTAACACACTGTCCACACTAGGGACTATATTCGTGGACAACGAAAATCAAAGGACGATAACTGTGTACCCGGACCTATTAGGGTAGAAAAAGTTGACCAATCTTAATGAAACTTGGTATGACCAAAGCTTATTTAATTATAAGACTGCTTACAAATTTCCATGGCAATAGGATATATATTATAGACAATATGACTAATTCTATATTCAACTTTGCGTGTTAAATTTAGACGTTAAAATTGAAAATTTTCAACTATCAACATTTGGGGCTTAAAAAATTAAAATATTGCAAAAAAATACTTTTGAAATGCCTTAATATATAAAATATTATATATTAAAAGCAATAGAGTACTCATTTGATTTATAAGACTTATCATAATTATTAAAAAGTCAAATTTATATGAGCCTGTGGCTAAAAATGGAGGTTTTCCAATGAAGGGGGGCCTTACTTGAAGATGTAATATTTTCCAGCAATTTTAAATTTGTAAAGCATTTTGGTTATAAATAATCCTTACATATGTATTTAATGTACTATAAATGGAAAGAAAACTTACAAATAACATATCACATTAGTTTAAAAGGGTCTTAGGCCAAGTAAGACTGAAAATAATTTAGGGTCAATTTAGGCCGTATCACATATTTACATTTAAAAATGCATATTGAAGCTATAGGAAATAAAATTTTGTGTCTTTTCTATCATTTTTATACTCAGGTGACATGATACAATAAATCTGAGCACAAAAAGACTCTTGCATTCAACTTTTTTTGCAGACAGTATGGTCTGATACAAAGATTTTTCACTTTTTAGTGAAAAACATGCATGCAATTTTAGTCTCAACAGGCTTATATTTGAACCACTTGCTATCCTACAGAAGAAAAGAAAGATATTATGTGACATAAAACAGGTACAATGGACATTGTTAAGTGCTTTTTATACAAATTTAGTGAGGTCTTTATAATGGACTTCAACTTTTATGTTCCAAGCTCCTCACATTTAACTTGATCCAAACAGGGCGTTAGACAAGGATCATATATACAACACATTTTGAACATATTGTCCGAGATAATCTTCTTTTCTGTAGATTCAGAGTTCACAAATGAGTAATACAACTGGATTGAAGCATAGAAACACAAATATTGACACATAAAAACCTGTCAGATAGAAAGTCAGAATGCCACTTATGCATCAAAATTGAAAAAGCTATGAAATGCTTATTTTGACCATAAAATGCCAAAATTGGTCATTTTTGCAGAAATTCTATCAAATAAAAGTTTAAATCCTTTAGTTTTATGCTATTTGATAAATTGACACCATCAAATCATTCAGGGAAGTTGCCAAAGTACAGATTCTATATTTCCTGATTTCACCTCTTAGGTCCGAGTACACAGTTATTTCGTAGTGCATTTCTTTTAGAGAATAAATGAAAATTAAAAAAATCCCACCTGCGCTTTCTCAATAATATTTTCACAGTGTGTTGTACTACTTTTGGGACAAATTATATCAAAATTATAGAAAACTTCATCGCCTCTAACTCAAAATATGGACAATTTCATGTTAAGGGGGTCTTCAAATCTTTTGACAGCTTCCGAAGTGCTAATTTTTAACATTATTCAGCTGGACCAAATCACTACTTTACTTTAAAATTCATGACCCAAATTTTTTTACAGTGTCATTTCACCCCCCTACTTACTATTTGAGTCATAAAACATGGAGAAATAAATTTGGAAGGGGTATAAAAAAAATCGACAAGTAACACACTGTCCACACTAGGGACTATATTCGTGGACAACGAAAATCAAAGGACGATAACTGTGTACCCGGACCTATTAGGGTAGAAAAAGTTGACCAATCTTAATGAAACTTGGTATGACCAAAGCTTATTTAATTATAAGACTGCTTACAAATTTCCATGGCAATAGGATATATATTATAGACAATATGACTAATTCTATATTCAACTTTGCGTGTTAAATTTAGACGTTAAAATTGAAAATTTTCAACTATCAACATTTGGGGCTTAAAAAATTAAAATATTGCAAAAAAATACTTTTGAAATGCCTTAATATATAAAATATTATATATTAAAAGCAATAGAGTACTCATTTGATTTATAAGACTTATCATAATTATTAAAAAGTCAAATTTATATGAGCCTGTGGCTAAAAATGGAGGTTTTCCAATGAAGGGGGGCCTTACTTGAAGATGTAATATTTTCCAGCAATTTTAAATTTGTAAAGCATTTTGGTTATAAATAATCCTTACATATGTATTTAATGTACTATAAATGGAAAGAAAACTTACAAATAACATATCACATTAGTTTAAAAGGGTCTTAGGCCAAGTAAGACTGAAAATAATTTAGGGTCAATTTAGGCCGTATCACATATTTACATTTAAAAATGCATATTGAAGCTATAGGAAATAAAATTTTGTGTCTTTTCTATCATTTTTATACTCAGGTGACATGATACAATAAATCTGAGCACAAAAAGACTCTTGCATTCAACTTTTTTTGCAGACAGTATGGTCTGATACAAAGATTTTTCACTTTTTAGTGAAAAACATGCATGCAATTTTAGTCTCAACAGGCTTATATTTGAACCACTTGCTATCCTACAGAAGAAAAGAAAGATATTATGTGACATAAAACAGGTACAATGGACATTGTTAAGTGCTTTTTATACAAATTTAGTGAGGTCTTTATAATGGACTTCAACTTTTATGTTCCAAGCTCCTCACATTTAACTTGATCCAAACAGGGCGTTAGACAAGGATCATATATACAACACATTTTGAACATATTGTCCGAGATAATCTTCTTTTCTGTAGATTCAGAGTTCACAAATGAGTAATACAACTGGATTGAAGCATAGAAACACAAATATTGACACATAAAAACCTGTCAGATAGAAAGTCAGAATGCCACTTATGCATCAAAATTGAAAAAGCTATGAAATGCTTATTTTGACCATAAAATGCCAAAATTGGTCATTTTTGCAGAAATTCTATCAAATAAAAGTTTAAATCCTTTAGTTTTATGCTATTTGATAAATTGACACCATCAAATCATTCAGGGAAGTTGCCAAAGTACAGATTCTATATTTCCTGATTTCACCTCTTAGGTCCGAGTACACAGTTATTTCGTAGTGCATTTCTTTTAGAGAATAAATGAAAATTAAAAAAATCCCACCTGCGCTTTCTCAATAATATTTTCACAGTGTGTTGTACTACTTTTGGGACAAATTATATCAAAATTATAGAAAACTTCATCGCCTCTAACTCAAAATATGGACAATTTCATGTTAAGGGGGTCTTCAAATCTTTTGACAGCTTCCGAAGTGCTAATTTTTAACATTATTCAGCTGGACCAAATCACTACTTTACTTTAAAATTCATGACCCAAATTTTTTTACAGTGTCATTTCACCCCCCTACTTACTATTTGAGTCATAAAACATGGAGAAATAAATTTGGAAGGGGTATAAAAAAAATCGACAAGTAACACACTGTCCACACTAGGGACTATATTCGTGGACAACGAAAATCAAAGGACGATAACTGTGTACCCGGACCTATTATGTCTGGATGCATTTCTATACAAGAAATTTGTAGAAATTTACTTTAGACAATGAAAGTTGATGCTTCACTTGTATATTAATTTTTCAAAACTTTCTTGATAGTCTTACATGTATAAAAAAGAACATGATTTTTCTTTTGAATTAATCCACATTTTGTCATGCCAAGGCCTGATATAGCTTTCTATACAGTATGGGTTTTGCTCATGGTTTAATGCTGTATGGGTTATGCTCATGGTTTAATGCTGTATGGGTTTTGCTCATGGTTTAATGCTGTACAAAGAGCTATAGTTGTTTACATCTTCTTCCTTTGATCTCTGGTGGATAGTTGTCTCATTGGCAATCATACCACATCTCTTTAATTTTAAACAGTACTCCCTGCACATAGTCTAAAAAGTTACCAGCGTCCTTTTCTCAAACATTTGATTTCAAACATTTATTGGGATCATAAACCATGGACCTCTATGAAAGCTAAATCTTGCTTAGTACATGCTGAAGTTAATTAACAGGTGGCGAACTAGTTGTGTAATTCACTGCTGCAGATGCTAATAATTCTGCACCTGCAAAGGTACATGTGTGTGTATCTTTGGGCTTATTTATTGCCTCTAAATTGGTATCAGTTTATGGTAGGTTTGATTATATTTTTAGCCTTATATATGTACTGCCAAACAACATGAACAGGTCTGAGCTAGTTCTACATTTGTTACTTGAAAACCAAAACAGGTTTACCTAACTTATCAAACCTCCTCATGTGGTTTGAGCAGTTTAACAAACCAATATCAGAATTTCTCATTTGTGTCATAACTGGTAATTCAAAACTAAAACTGTAAACTGAAACAAGTTTGACTTCAACAAATACAACTTAGGTTTTACACATTGTTACAGGTAACCTTTAGCAAAAACATGCATGTGTAGTATATATGTCTTTGGATAGGAAAAATCAGTAATACAGGAAATGGAAAATAACAGCTTTTGTATAATTGAACTAGTTCTTTCCACATTATTTCTTCAAGTAAAGGCTTAAGAAGAACATAAGATAAATGTTATAAATAAACTTAATAACTCCATGTTGAAGACCGTACTGTGACCTATAATGGTTTACTTTTATAAATTTTGACTTGGATGGAGAGTTGTCTCATTGGCACTCATACCACATCTTCTTATATCTATTAATACATTTTTCAGTTTTAAAGCTTCAGGTCAGCTGCCAAAAACCCAAGGTTGCAGGTTGGATGTGACCATGTTGGAGTGACAGACATTACCCTTGTGTTTACAGTTTTAATTTTTGTGTATTGACTTTTAGATATTAAAAAAATTTAAATTTCTATTTCAGATTAATTTTCCCCTTCAGAATGGCAAAACGTAACTACAGTGGTTCATTTAGAGGAAGACCTCAGGGTAATAGATTCCAGTATGGAGGACCATATCCACAGCAAGAAGTAATGAATGCTAGACATTGCTTTTCTATGCAGTTCCATAACCATACTGGTCGGGCCATGAGAAGTCTCAAAATGAAAATGAGCGCAAGTATCAATTTCTTTCACAGAGAACAAATAGAGTCGGTAATTACAGAATCATTTAGTGCTTTCCAGGAAGACTCAGATCATGCAGAGGAAAGCAGATCAATAGAAGAATGTGAATCTGTTCAAATGAACGAGAGGAAGATAGATATACACACATTAGAGAAAGGAGACCTAGGTAAAGAGTCAGAAAATATGGCAGTGCATGTGTCAAACATAAACAATACAATCCCTAACCTTATAAAATCACCTAGCAGTACAAACTTAAATTCTACCAGTGAACCACCAGTTAAGAGACAGAGATTATCAATTGAAAGTGTAACATCAAACTCCAATGATAATCAACCTTTGTCTAATGTTGACCCAAATGCCAATATACAAAATGGTTCAGTAACCATCAACGAATCAATTAGTTTTGTAGAGAATATATCCAGCAGCTCTCAGAATAACAACATAGTCAATGGTAACTTTGGTGATAGCATTGTTATATCAACTGATGATGAAGAAGAGGAAGAGGGAGAGTTGTCTATCGAAGAGGATGTTGACTTATGTTTGATGTGCGACCTCTGTTTACATGTCATCAGAGGTTGTGACAAAGATAGTGAACAACAGATGAAAAATCATTTCCTTGATGCACAACATAATGCTGCCAGTCTTGTAGAAGCCAAAATAGAAGGTGATAAACTAATTCCTAGGTATGTTGAAGACAGACATTGCATGTCTAACAATTCTATAGATACAAATATTTTACCACTGTGTCCTGAATGTGATATGGTACATGGAAGTATATGGACTTGTGCTTTGCATTATCAACAGAAACATGATGCAAATGAAAGTGGTGTTTATGGATTAGGCAAAGTTGTTAAAAGGATGGTAGTTGAGGTGTCTCCTGTACACATTTGCCCAACATGCAAACAGGAATTTCCAAGTGCTAGCAAATTGCACAAACACTGGAAGACTAGAAGACATTTTCCATTCTCAGAACCGTCAAAGAAACAAATCACAGAGTTTCTATGCAAAGAATGTGGGAGGAAGGAGCAGTCTTTTATATTCATGAGAGGACATATGCTTGGTGCACATACAAATAAATATAATGGAACAACAGCAAAGATGCAGATATTATATATAGAGAAAACTTCTAGGCTTTGTCTACTGCCATCAAAGCCAATGTCAGTAGATAGACAACTTGCTGACAATAAACGATTGTTTACAAAGACTGTAAAGGGTTTGAGTAAATCCCACAGAAGACGATTAAAGAAGTCAGTGCTGCCATCAAAGGCAGATATTATATCATACAAGAATGGGGTAGATTATGATGAGCACAAAAATAGATATGAAAAATTTGTCAGTAATCACTTACATTATAACAGGTATCACTATACTGTACAACAATCATGAGGGCAACATCTATAGACTTCTCTGTAGATAAAACAAATCAGTTTGGGGTTTTATGGGTTGTATGTATATCAAGTGTTTTCCTTATAAATGCTCTTAAATCTTAATGCAGATGTGCATTACAACTTGTAATTGTACATGTTGCATTAATTTGACTAGTGATTTGATTAATCTTTGTTAAAAAGTTTAAAGATAAGGTATTGAATAAGGGGCATTCCTCCCACCCCCCAAAAAAGGTGAAAATTAAGCCTTGTTTTAATCCACAGTTTTTGTCTTGTCTTGCCAAATATCATAGGTATGCTTATATAATCTTGCAACAGCCTACTCATTTGCACTAAGCTTTATATTTCAGAGGGTAGAAGACCTGGATACTTTATATCTTGTAGATTTGTATACAGATGCCTTATGTTAAGTTCTAATAAATGCTGCCAAACGTGTGTGTAATCTACTTTATGTTCTGAAGTTTCTATCTGGCATATGTCTGTTGTTCTTAACCTATTTTCATGGTTCATGGATTGTTGCAATATGATGACTATATTTGGTACATATAGAATCATATCAAGGTTATGTCCGTCAGACAGGTTTGACATGACCTTGACCACATTTGATGGATCAGTGATCAAAGTTAAGTTTTTTGGGGAAGTTTATTTCATTAGATACTATAAGCAATGGGTCAACTTTATTTGGTGAATGGAATGAGTGTAAGGTGTACATGTCTGTCTAACAGGGTTCGCCTGACCTTGACCTCATTAGTCAACTTTGTGTCTATTTCTCAGATACTATCAGCAATAGGTGAACTTATTTCACTATTTGGTGTATGGAATGGTTATAAGGTGTGCATATGTAAAAATTAGAAGTTGTCCATCTGGCAGAGTTCATCTGAATTAAAATAGCTACTTTTTTTGGTCAGTGTGAAGTTTTTGTATTGTAATTTCAAGTCCTTGAAATTTAGATTCTATACACAATAGGCCAAATATATTTTAGTGTATTGGATACATTTTGTACTTTAAAGGTGTACATGTCTGTTTGGGAGGGTTCATATAACATTGACCTCATTTTCATGGATCATTGATAATGTCATGTTTATGTATCTACTTGCAGTAAAACATTTTCATCATGAATTCAATGATGATCAGTAAAGCAGGGAACAACTTTCAGAGTGTGCAACCTTGTTTAAGGATTATATCTTAAATAAAACAAATATGTTACCATTTTCCTCATTTTGTGCAGATAAAGAAACTTTAAGCCTCTTTGAAGTTTCACTGAAAAATTAGCAAGATTATATGAATGTAAAAAAACTTTTTTTCTTTCAAAATTTAATATCTAATTTCTTACAACTTTTTTTTATATTTTATCATATGGTATACATAGTATAAGGTCCAGACCGTCATCCTATTCATTTACCAATTGAAATAATCTAATGTAAAAGGAATAAAAAAAAAACAAAAATTCTATTTAGCAATTTCAGGGACTCTTACAATACCTCCTTCTTTATTGTGATTTATTTTCTGATGGGTTCATGAACAAACATTTTTGACCTTGGGCTTCCAGTGTAAACTCATTTGACTATTCTGACAAAAATGAGATAAGCATCTAGGATTTTAAAATCTCTCAGTTTGAAATCTGTCCCAATCTTGTTCAATTTCTCAACATTTGCAGTTGCATAATGGTATGGTGCTGCAGACAAAATTGTTTTATATTGAAATATGAATTTTAATTTACATGTTAAAGCATGTGTGAATCAAAAGGAGAGATGGGTTACAACTTACAAGTCATTAAGACAGCAACCCATGATACAAAATCTTAACGACGTCTAATAAACATGTGCTTGAAGGTGTCACATTACATTTACCGTTCCAATACCAACAGTTCATGTTAAAAAATTTAAGTTAACCCATCTTAGGACTGCCTATATACATCCAAATAGGCTTAATTGATAAGGGGTGTAAAATTTTCTAGGTCATCCCTGAATGTATGAAAGTCATTATTAATTGTTTTAGTTATCTTACATCATATAAACATGAAAATTAAGGTACCATGAACACAATTATTGAGGAATCAATTTTATTCAAAGTGATTTTTGTACAGGCAAACACCTGAAAGGGTTCAACCAAATACATATTTCCTGAAGGTTTGTATTTTTGAATTAATTAAAAACCAAGAAGAATGAATTACAAATTTTCCTCACCTACCTAAAATTCAGTTTATTCAGTAAAATCTGTTCAGTGATATTTATATTTTATAATAAAACACACCTTAATGTTTGTTCTGCCATTAACATTGTTGCAGAACTGTTGAAAGTGAACCAGCTGGCTGGAGTAACATATTTACATGATTTCACCTGAGTGATTTGGATTCCAACAGCTTAGAATTTTAAAAGAAGGCATAGACATAATCCAATTGTAACTCAAAACTTTTTTTTAAATAAGTAAAATTTAACAAATTCATAACAAAAAGATTTATTCACATATACCAAATTTTTTCTGTCACAATGTAAATTTAAAGAGTAATGTCCCTTTCTCATACAGTTTCCAGAGGTATATTTATTGAGACTTTGCACAAAATAATATCCCTAAATATGACAATTTTACTTGCCTATTTTGTATTCAAACTTTTGTAAATAATATAAAATATGATGTATAAAGTTTATTGAACATTGAACTTTAATAAGAAAAATAAAGTTAGTTCAGTTATGCTTTTCTTGTATTATTTCTGTGCACAAACTCAAATAAAAGTATTTATATGTCGACCAGATGAAGATTGCTATGTCGACCAGATGAAGATTGCTATAAACCTTTGACTGTCAGTGGGTGATTCAGATTTACATGAAAAATCTTTTTGTGGAGTATTTCACCTGTGGAAACAAAATATGACGAAAGTGCTTTTAGAGACGAAGCTGAATATAGTAACCTTGGTTAGATTGTTCAATGAAAACTTCCTTTTTGGTTTACATAGCATATTACATATCATTAAATACAAATAACAGTATTACCATTAAAAATCACACAACATTTCAATAAGAAAATTAATTAAGACTGCCAAGGTTCTCTATTTGTCAGTTCTAATGACTGTCCAATAAAGGACGACACAGTATTTTTGTGGTCTAGTTTTGGTGGATTCAATGACTGTTCAATACAGGATGATACAACTGTAAGGTGGTCTAGTTTAATAGATTCAGTGACTGTTCAATAAAGTATGATACAGTCTTAATGTGGTCTTGTGTTCATGGATTAAGTGAGTTTTCGATAGAGGATGATACAGCCTTTATTTGGTCTAGTGGTGAAGAATTCAGTGACTGTATAATAAAGGATGATATAGCCTTTATGCGGTCGAGTGTTGATGGCTTCAATTACTGTTCATTATAGTATGATATCGATACAACCTTTATGTGGTCTAGTGTTGATGGATTCAGTATCCTTCTCAATTTTTTATAATGGGGGATTCTTTTGTATATTGACTTGCAGGGTAACATCTATGAATTTAAGAAGCACCGGTATATTTGTATTGTTAAATTATTCAATCACATCACATTCTTAAATGTTGTCTTAGAACTCATCCTAAACAGTTTTTTGGAAAGATTGGAACTATTGTTCAAATTCTTTCCGAAGCCACCTTCCTCCCAATCAGGAAGAAAACATATTAAAGCTACTCAATCTATACACACTGAAATATAGTTCCCAATAATTCTCATGTCTGTGTAGATATGCACATATGAACTTTAAACAACATTGGTTTTTATCTTGAAATCAGTTCATTCAAGTATGTACGTCTTTAGTTTTGGCAAGTTGCTTGCTAGATTTGTCATTTTTATTAGGTACGAGTAATAATACAACATCAGCATTGAAAATTGCCATAATCAACAAAATGTGCCATGCAGTGCTGGCCCTAAAATCAAATACATTGCATATTTTAAAATGGCACTTACATGCAGAGAAATCATAGAGAGAATAACCCTTGCATTTATATCTACCAGATATATCATTTAAAGTATTTCCTGGATGTCTACGAATTCTTTGCACTTTAAAAAAATGAAATCACAGATGAAATTTTACTTATGTTACCTGATGTTCAGCATTTTCTTATAAAAAAAAAACTATCATCCTATTAGTGAAAGAATCGCAACCCCACATAGACTGTGATCGACAAAGTATTGTCCCTTGAATTCTAACTCTTAATTCTTTCAAACTGCATTTGCTTAATCTGTCTTCAAATGTCATTTCAACACAAATTCAATATTAAGAGATAAATTATTCAACAAAAAGACGAATTAAAATACGATCACACAATATTAAATTACACAATATAAATAATTCTATATGACATTTTGTCATTTGAATCTCTTCAAAATAAGAGGAAAATATTATGCGATTTATACAGTTTAAAATGGAATTGAATCAAGTTGCTTGTGAGGATACTGACAATAATCCAATATTTGGAAGGTCTTCTTCCACAAGTTTCATCGCCGATGGTGTCTTGATTTCACATACCACTGTAGTGACACCTATGAAAAGCCAAAAGCAAATAGCGAAAGAGAAAAATAAATATCAACACAAGAACCAAGAAGAATGTTTACGAATTACAAAGATACCAGGTAGTAGACCAGTTGTGCATGCGACTATTCAAAATGAATGCCGAGTACCGTTTGGTAATTCCAAACTTAATGAACAAGACTTTGTTTCTTTGAGTGAAGACAGACCCATACCGTTCATGGAAGAAGCCGTTGAACCCAAGATATCATATGAGAAGCCATATTTTACCAGCAGAAAAACATCATATTTTGAAAAAACAGCACCAGAAACCGTGGGAAAGAAAAGCACAACAAAATGGCTAGATATTGATAAATTGGCCATACCAAAAATAACATTTCGTAGATGTTGTTGGATATTTATTGTATTCATTGCTCCTGTCCTTACATTTACAATATGTGGAGCTGTATTGTTGTGGTGGTTGGTTCGCTAGATTTAACATACATGACATTTCATATATTCACTGTTACACATGTTTTAGTTTTATTTCCAGCAAAATCTTAACGATAAATACATTTATTACAAAATGTAGTTTTAGCATTTCTTCGACTTTTATAAAGGAGGAGTTATAATAAGAGCTGTTATCTGGTCCCGCAGATTGCAAAGGAAAACAACAGATAAATACTACAATCCTTTCAGGATTATGCCAGTTGATATGATGGTAATCTGAACTCTTTCTCTGGACCGATGTAACTTGAACGCATTGCATGGCTGAATGAAAATAAATATATATATATATATATATATATATATATATACAAGTCTAAATTGAAAACAACGTTTAAACCTATGATTGCGTTGGATAAAAACCGCAATTTTTTTATACGTGTGCATGCAAAACAAATTTCTTGGTAGAGGGGTCTAAATACAGCACAAACAACATTTTCCAAAATACCAAAAAAGTGAAAAGTATATTTAAACAAAACGCATTTGACTAACAGGTCGAACAACGGATGTTCTTAAACCCTGCTGACTGTCATTGGCGATTGCCAAATAAACGGATCACAAGTTTAACAAAATGGATCTTTATTTTTAATTTAATACCAAACAGAAAACAATAAACTTGCGGAAAAGATGGTACTACGCAAACATGAGGTGCAAAAATTTGTACACCATATCCGGATTTCGACAATTAATGTCTCTTTAGTGATGTTAGGAATCGAAACGGTATTTGGAAGGCCATATAATTTACCTCAATTTAGGATAGACTCTTGAATTTTGAAAGAGTCAAAATAGGATGAACGGATCATATAAACCCGAAGGCAAATATAATACAAGCCCAAACGAAAAAATATAAACAAGTCTAAATTGAAAACAACGTTCAAACCTATGATTGCGTTGGATAAAAACCGCAATTTTTTATACGTGTGCATGCAAAACAAATTTCTTGGTAGAGGGGTCTAAATACAGCACAAACAACATTTTCCAAAAAGACAAAAAAAGTGAAAAGTATATGTAAACAAAACGCATTTGGCTACATAATATAGTATAATATAGTATAGAACTGGTAGTCGTGATGCCACTATGACGCCATTGTGTTGAAAATTACACAATTTCTTTAAAATGGACAACTTACACACTTTTATGATAGATTAAATATGAGAAAACCTCAGCGGGCACTCAAAAGATATTTTGCCTAGAATCAAAATATTAATATAAGATTAACTTTTTTAAAGCCTCGGCTCAAATCTAAACAAGCCTTATAACATTATGGTATATTAGAAGTATTTTTATATAAAGAATAAAGCTGCAAGTTTGAAGGCAAACAGAAATACTGATGTCTCGCGAATTAACGTCTTGTGAACGTCTGAAGGATGTTACTTAGTAGTTAATGGTTATTTCATATTTTTTTTTAATTTCGAAATCAAGTTTCCGAAATTTTTTTAAAGTAAAGATAGTCCGTGCACATATGGTTGATTTTATTTTGTAGGCATTTAGACGATTTAGAGGGGGGCATGGGCTTAACAGAAAGAGATTCCTATGAATTTTCATATGAGACACATTGGGATACCCGAATGTTCAACTGTATGGGGAAAAAGAATGAAATAGCCTGAATTTTATAATATTTTACTAGAAGTGCATTGTGATATTTTTTTTTATAAATGTTAAAAAACAAAAGGTTGTTGGGTAAAGGACGATGTTAATTTTTTGGCAAAATAAGGCTTTGAATTTCTACTTTATCGTTAAATATAAAAAAAGGCCGTTATTTGGTTCTGAAATGGATCTATTTTAAAAGTCTTACTGCTTGATTAAACATATATCTTCATAAGAGTACATTTTAGGCTAACAAGTCTGCACATTTTGGATGTATTGTCAAAATACGATCATTAAGTGCATTCATCAGACCTAAAAGCTAGAGAGAAAAAACTGGCCACAATCTACGGTCCAAAATGTTCTGTAACCCAAATATGTCGTTGATGATATTGAATCCCTAGATACAAAAAAGTATTATGTTTTGGATTTTCAAAAATTTGGCCTCGAGCATCACCGAAGAGACATTGATGGTCGAAATGTGCATCTGGTGCAGTAAATGTGGTACCGTTAATGTTATCACTACAACTCTGTCGATACTTCTGCTGTTAGACTGTTAGTCCCTGATGGGTTCACCAACCCGGTAGCTAGTATTTCTGTACTGGCATGAAATACGGATATGGTTTTATTAAAATTTACGAAATCATTTTTGTCGAGCCTTCGACTTTTGTCGAAAAAGCGAGACATAGCGATCCTACATTCCGTCGGCGTCGTCGTCGTCGGCGGCGGCGGCGGTGTCCACAAATATTCACTCTGTGGTTAAAGTTTTTGAAATTTTAATAACTTTCTTAAACTAACCTGGATTTCTACCAAACTTGGACAAAGGCTTGTTTATGATCATAAGATATAGTTTCCAGAAGTTAATTTTGTAAAAAAAAAATTCTGGTTTTCCGAATTTTACTTATAAATGGACTTTTCTGCCAGGAAACATTACATTCACTCTGTGGTTAAAGTTTTTTCGAAATTTTGATAACTTTCTTAAACTATCCTGGATTTGTACCATACTTGGACAGAAGCTTGTTTATGACCATAAGATAGTATCCAGATGTAAATTTAGTAAAAAGAATTAATTTTTTCCCCGTATTTTACTTATAAATGGACTTAGTTTTTCTGCCAGGAAACATTACATTCACTCT